GTTTACAGTTTAATAGATTAATCAACAGCATATGTGATAGTAATATGAAGGATTATAATCTTATGTGAGCTAAACCAGCTTGTGGTGTTTGCTACATCCTGTATGGGCCAATTATGCTCCAATCTGTTACGGATGTAGAGGGGGACTCCTGTATGCCGATGCTGTCGGATAGACCTCTTATCTCACATTCAGAGAGAAAGAACCTTTGTTCTTCCTGCCTCACAGGAAGTGAGCTGGATTGCCCTTCAGTGAAAGTGCGTTTGTGTGTCCTGGTAAACCGTACATTGTGGGGACAAAATATCCCTTTAAAGATAACAACATGTGAAATTCTTGTCCTCGTTTCAAAACAGCTAAATTATAATTAGAGATATTTTTTGAATATATAAAAATGCAGAAAGTTTTTTTTTTTTTTTGGATGGATATACAGTTTGTACAGTATTAAAATCATTATCTCTGTGGAAAGTCCAAATAAAACATGGAAACCCAACGCGTGCGCGCGCGCGCGCGCGCGTGTGTGTGTGTGTGTGTGTGTGTGTGTGTGTGGAGTAGCTGCCCTGGAGTGAGCAGCACAGAAGAGAGGAAGAAAAAAAGAGAAAGGTTCAAAATGAAATAATATTGAACTCAGCAGTATTCAAAAAAGAAAATGCTGTTAAGTTTTGATATGTTACGTTTTCAGAAATAGCTCTAGGCTGGCCACATAGAAATATGGAGAAGGAGAACGTTAAAGAAAGGCTAAACCTATGATCTATCCATCTTCCCCCGGCCTGCTTCTTCCTTTTATTCCCTCCTCATCATCCCATTCCTTCATTCCATTATCTCCGGGCCGGTGAATGAAAGCACGTCATGGGCCGCAGGAACAGAATCATGGGAGATCTTGTTTATGGTCTGCAGGGTCTGATTAGTGGGCGAACATGACATAAGCTTTCTGACATTCACCTTTCTCCTGACTTCTTCATCTACACATTTATTCATGCAGGGATTTTTTTTTCCCTCAAACAATTTTCAGAGCCACACAGGATGGATTCGGTCTATGGCAGTTTAAATGTTGCCCTGGGCGTCTCACATGAATTGTAAGACCCTCATCAGGAGTGCAAAAGAAACATGAAGATGGAGAGTATCTTCCTGCTATTTTTGTTTTTTAGAAAGCAATAAAGTCAAATTGCAGGAAAATATTTTTAAAAATTCTTATGGCGATCAACTTTTATCCAGTATTAGGAATTTTGGTGTTTCTCAGTTTGTGCTCAAAAAAGTATCTGGTCGTAAAGTAGCTTCTCGTAAAATGAGTCTTTAATGTACATGACTTAACTGGAGTGCATGATTTTATTATTCAAGAAAATGTTCTTCTCTGAAGGCATTTCTTGTGCATGCAGGGTTTGAACTCATTTCAATCCCATAACAGAAAATGAGGATGGGGAAATGTGAGCTTGTTATGTGGCAACCCCTATCACTGCACTACACCAGATTCAAGCGATCATCAGTGAACTCTCAGAAAAAAAATTAAATATGTTTTTATGGAAACATGCAGTTCCACTTTGTGTATTTTTACGTGGTAAGAGGAAGCTTTGACTTTCTGAGAATGTTGATCAACACCAAAATTGAAGTTTATTTGTCATGATAAAGAGATGCAGATGAGGGAGACAGAAAGGTAAATGTTATTAATTTTTTTTTAAACTTAAAGAGATAAATATAAAAAAACAACTAGGGGGAAGGTGGAAGGAGAAAAGAACGATCAAATTCTGTTTTGGACTTAGCAATTGGATAAAGTCTGAAATCACCCTTACTTAGCTAATAAACTGACTTTTGTGGCATTCTCATATGGAAAAACAATTCATAAATTATGTTTAATAATATCAGGTGTTTGTGTTTTATGGCCCATTCACACCAAGGACAATAATGATAACGATATAGTTCTAAAAAACGTTTTCAATATTTAAGTTCACACCACAGCTTTTACAAAAACAATACAGAGAAACAATATCATTGGATTTACGTAATGCAGACGCTGGAGAGGACGATAGAAGGTGAACAGTGAGTTTATTGACAATAATGGGGCAGTGATGAAGTGAGCAGACAGATTAGAGTCCAACGGATGATTTTGAGGGAGACACTAGCCATGTTTCCAGCCACTTGTCAATCGAATTATCTGAAGTTCGGTAAAAAAACTCATGCGAATAAATCTGGTGAAAGTGTGTTTCCATCCAACGGCTTTAAAGCGAATAAAAACCTGTACGTAATGACGTCACATGCTGTTTTGCGATCAAATTGGTATATCGTATTGATTTGAGACATTTTAAGGTGTTTCCATTAATTTTCGCACTGAATCGAACAACATTCAAGCAAACTTTTGCGAACAAAGTTTTGTTAGACAAAACGGATCGCGCCATCTACCAAAAAATAATCAATATGTTGTAATAATGCTTATGTGCCAGCTGATAGCGACATATGAATGGGATAATGGGCAGCCCCCATTGGACTCTGGATGAGGTTGGAAACTGGAGCCCACACTGGACAAGGACGGAGACTTGAGCCCCCACTGGACTCTGGATGAGGATGGAGACCGGAGCCCCCACTGGACAAAGACAGAGACTGGAACCGACTCTGGACGAGGACAGAGACTGGAGCCCCCTCTGGACACTGGACGAGGATGCAGACATGGAGCCCCCACTGGACTCTGGACAAGGATGGAGACTGGAGCCCCCACTGGACTCTGTATGAGGACGGAAACTGGAGCACCCACTGAACTCTGGACGAGGACTGGAGCCCCCACTGGACTCTGGATGAGGACGGAGACTGGAGCCACCACTGGACTCTGGATGAGGACAGAACTGGTGCCCCCACTGGACTCTGGACAAGGACGGAGACTGGAGCCCCCTCTGAACTCTGGACGAGGATGGAGATGGGAGCCCCCTCTGGACAAGAACGGAGTCTGCAGCCTCCACTGGACTCTGGACGCGAATGGAGACTGGAGCCCCCACTGGAATCTGGATGAGGATGGAGACTAGAGCCCCCTCAGGACTCTGGATGAGAATGGAGTCTGCAGCACCCACTGCACTCTAGATGAGGATGGAAACTGGAGCCCCCACTGGACTGTGGATGAGGATGGAGACGGGAGCCCCCACTGGACTCTGGACGAGGACAGAGACTGGAGGGCGCTCTGGACAAGGACGGAGTCTGCAGCCCCCACTGGACTCTAGATGAGGACGGAAACTGGAGCCCCCACTGGACTCTGGACGAGAATGGAGACTGGAGCCCCCACTGGACTCTAGATGAGGATAGAAACTGGAGCCCCCACTGGACTCTGGAGGTGGACAGAGACTGGAGCCCCCACTGGACTCTGGAGGTGGACAGAGACTGGAGCCCCCACTGGACTCTGGATGAGGATGGAGACGGGAGCGCCCCCCCCCCCCTGGACTCTGGACGAGGACAGAGACTGGAGGCCGCTCTGGACAAGGACGGAGTCTGCAGCCCCCACTGGACTCTAGATGAGGATGGAAACTGGAGCCCCCACTGGACTCTGGACGAGGACGGAGACTGGAACCGACTCTGGACGAGGATGGAGACTGGACCCCACACTGGGAACTGGACGAGGACGGAAACTGGAGCCCCCACTGGACTCTGGACGGGGGCGGAGACTGGAGTCACCTCTTGAGACGAGGCTCTTAAATGGCGGTGGCCATCTTGGGAGGTGGGTCTGTGAGTCACAGATTATTCTTTTTGAATGTATGACCAACATAAGAATTTTCACTGGAAAATTTCATCTGAACTAGTAAGAAATGTCCACATTTGTTCTGGTTCTGACATCGCTGTAAATTGCGCTGATTAAATCTAACGATTGTTTATAAGTTATCATATCACGCAAAACCGTGAAAATTATACTTTCTTCTCAAATTGTTAAAGTTAAAAACGTCAGCATTGCGTGACTACATGTAATGTCCTTCCGATATTATCCTTGTTCTCGCATGGGTCCGGTTGTAGTCTCTTTTTTTCTCTAGCCACTCCAAAGTCTAAGCGAAGTCTTTTGCATTTTATAGTGGGTGAATCTGTTGTCACTGGTGATTGTCATTTGAACCTTTCTGGATCCGCAATCAAATTGATAAGTTTAATTATATCAAGTGCTGTGAGAATAGGCTATAAATATCCACCTCCCACATCATTACACGCAATATAGCCTAGCCGAGACTCTTTATGTGTACAGATGTGACATAATGACCACTGGAATTAAACACATTATTAAAAGCTTACCGCTTTGAATCGAGCTATGACAAGCAGAGAGTTAACCAACACTGGCTGGTTATGTATTTTCTTACATGTGTTTTGGATATTTTTTAACACCAAAATTCTACAGACTACAGCTTTAAGGCTTCTATGTATTTTACCTCAAATTTGTCTGTTACTTGGTGCACTCTTTAAAATAAAGTTTCCAAAAGTATACTTTTGCAGCAATGTAATAGAACCCTTTTTCGGGTTCTCAAAGAATCAGACAAATTGTTATAAGACTGTGCAAAAGTAAGTTAAGTTTAATAATCTTAAGAACCTTTACCAACCTTTTACCAAAGTAAGTGAAGTTTAATAATCTTAAGAACCTTTTACCACTACGAGGAAATGTTAAAGGTGCTTCATGGAACCATTGATCCCAATAAAGAACCTTTTTTTTAAGAGTGTATGACTCCACAACCACTAGAGTGGCAAAACTACACACATACAGGACTTTCACAGACAAAGTTAGAAGGGAATCTTTGGATCTTGTCCTGGCTTGCACCTCTCCTTTATAAATCATGGGATGGTGATTAAAATGAGTAGTGTTAAGGGTGGATTTGTGGAGAGAGAGAGAGAGAGAGAGAGAGAGAGAGAGAGAGAAAGAGAGAGGGGCTCTCTCTCTCTCTCTCTCTCTCTCTCTGTGTGTGTGTGTGTTTTATTAGAAATTCTTTCTTAAAAACAATTTACCAGCATGATCCAATGTGATGGTGGGATGAGAGATAAAAGGGAAAGATACAGTGAGAGAGAAAGTGACAATGTTTAATTTGCAGGCATATGCCCGATTTAGCACGAGAAAATGTAAAAAATCAAACAAACAATGGGATCTATTTTCGAGCGTAACAAGAAACAAAACTCTAAGAAAGCAAGTACTTGTAATCATCTGTTTGGTTCAGCGACACAGTTCCAAATTGAAGTGGTTTATAAAATTAATTCTCAATTTGATTCTGAATGACACACAAATGCATTGTTCTAACTGTTTATGACAACATATGAGGAAAGAATATAAAAAAAATAGGAACAAAGAAATATCCGAACTTATCCTTGCCAAAGTTCAAGTGACTTCTGCACTAAGTTGTAATAGTAAACTCAACTGTTTTCACTTTCATTTTTGGCAAAATGCAAAGTATATGTTGCAAAATAAAAAAAATAAAAAAGACAACGAAACTCAGAGTTAAGAGGAAGAAAGAAGTGAGACTAACTTGTGGTCTATAAATATGGATGATTGTCACCACTGATGTTCTGACCCTTCCTGATGTTTTTATCAGGGTTGCCAGATGCCAGGTTTCTCGGTTAAACACATTATAATCATGTGTACTTTTGCGTCCATTCGATTTTCGTTTTTTAACCTGTAATTGAAAAACGAAAAATTAACAGTTGTTGTATTTTTAAAATGCAAAGTTGAACACCAAAATTTGAATTTGAACAGTTAAAAAAAAAAAAAAAAAAAAAAATATATATATATATATATATATATATATATATATATATATATATATATATATATATATATATATATAGTATAATAAATAAAATAAATAAATAATACATTTTTTTAATATAATAAATTAAAAATAAATAGTGATGTATTGTTTATTTTGGCCCTTTATTAAACATTTAAAATATTCACAAATTAATATGGAAAAAAATGTGGCCCTTTATAAAACATTTAAAATATTCACAAATTAATATGGAAAACCATTCTATATGGTTCACTCTGGAACCATATAGAAACTGTTTTTGAAATGGTTTTTTTTAGGCTTTCTTTTTTATGTGAAGTTAAATATCTAAGCCTTGTAAATAAAGGAAATAAAAACGTTCGTTTCACCAGTCTAAAAACGAATTAAGCCCAATCTGGCAACACTGGTTTTCATGTAATGAAGCTTGGTGAGAATAAATTCAGGATTAATATATATATATATATATATATATATATATATATATATATATATATAAATGGAATAAGTTTCATAAAAATGGAAACCTATGGAATAAGTTTACATGTAGTTGCAAAGTTGTTCATAGTCAGTAGAATGTCTGTTGAGGAGCATCACAATAAAGAGTTAGCCAAATTAAGCATGATCTACAAATACTCTAATGAGAGTTAGTTGACATGTAGATGCAAAGTTACTTATAGTTAGTAGAATGTTTAAAAGTGGACCATTGAAATTGATTTTTTTTTTTTTTTTTTGTTAGGCTAGTTAATAGACTCTACACATCCTGAAAGCGATCAGTAAGTTAGGTGGTCTAAATGTATTTATATGCATATATGTCATCTATGGAATGCATAGGACCATACCATTTTCATCCAATCATTGTATTCGGTCTGAATGCATTAATATGATGTCCTACGTGCTCACACAGACATCAGTGCGCGATTCATGATATGTAGAGTTAGGCAGAACACGATTTTTTGCAATGACAGGCGCCTTTTTAAAATTTGTTTTCTATAGGCAATGAGCATTTTGCGCGCTGTTTTATGCACCCTGGGCGCCTCGCCTTTTGTAGGAGCGCAACCTTATGTTGAAAAAAAAAATCTACTCTGAGAAGAAAAGAGCCCGACGTCATTCATGTTTTTTTAGTTTTTTTTCCCCATTGTCCATTCAAATGACTGGAGAGGTGGGCCTTCTGTTGTGCAGTGACGGAAGTTTACAGATTACGGATCTTAGTTTCCCTGTCTCGTGCGTGTTTGTACACCTCTCACCCTCGATCAAGGTCAGAGAAAGCACCCTCGGCTTTCTAGAGCGCTCGCTCTATAATCCTTGATTAGACTGACAAGACAGCTGATTCGGTGGTTGCAACTAGCAACATTTAAAAAAACGCAGCGGACTGATCTTTTCTAAATAAAAATAAACAAAATAAGTCAGTACCCAGATAGCAAACTGACATTGAATCAACGTGGAAACATGACATCGAAACAACGTTGATCTGACATTGTTTTGCTCATCGAATTAACGTTGAACCAACGTCAGACGCGTCATTCTTTCAAAACTAACGGAAAATCAACATGAAATCAACGCGTTGTTTCAACGTTATGAAAGCAAACCAATTTTCGATTTTTATTTAGCTTTGAAGAATGCCGCGTCTGACGTTGGTTCAACGTTAATTCGATGAGCAAAATCAACGTTGTTTCAATGTCATGAGAGACGTCGTTTCCACGTTGATTCAATGTCAGTTTGCTGTCTGGGTACGTACAGGTCGGTGTTACTGAAGTTGTACGTTCATTATTATTGTAGTGTCACGTGCTTTGAGACATGAGGTAGTTTAACGACGTCTTCATGTGTTTTGGAGGCGTGGCTTTGGAGACGCTCTGAAGTGACGGTGAGAAGCTAACTGGCTAATGCTATCCTCTCCGGTGATTGCCTACCCTACATTTAACAAACTGTCAGAAAAAAAAAAGAAGAAGAAAAGAGATTTGGTTCTGTGTATTGGTTGCTGATTGGATGTTGCCCTCAAAAACAAACTTGCAAACTTCCGAGTCAATTCGTTTGTTTTGTGTGTTGAATCAACCAAATGACTCGGAAAAAGATTCGTTCATTTTGATGAACGAGTTTGAACAGGAGAGTCACAAACGTGCATCACAGAACAGAGCAAGGCGAGCATTTGAGCTTATAAAACTTAAATTTTGTTTTTATTTATTAAATGAGCGACCATTTCGCTTGATAAGACCCTTATTCATCGTCTGGTGTCGTTTAAAGCCCTTTGAACAGTTTGCAGTTTGTACTGAAAGTGTCATTTGGACCTTGAATCGTTTGGTTCCCATTGAAGTCCATTATATGGAGAAAATCCTGGAATGTTTATCAAAAACCTTAATTTATATTCGACTGAAGAAAGAAAGACATGGACATCTTGGATGACATGGGGGTGAGTAAATTACCAGCAAAAGTTTTTTTTTCAAAAGTGAACTACTCCTTTAAGTGGACTAAACGGTTGCAGTTTTTATTTCATGACAAATTTAAGGATCAAAGTGGACTCTTACTGAGGTTCCTGGCTCAGACGTGTGTAAAGTGTCAGTAAAGGGTTAAGCGTAGAGCACAGCTGATCCAGTAAGGGACTGTGGGACGGGAGGCAGAGCACCCATAGGGCCGGGCAGAGCGCCAGCTCCACTCATAAACTAGAGGCTTCCAGTCAGTGTGCCAGGGACAGCCCCGTGACTCAGAGAATGAATCCTGCAGAGAGAGAGAGAGAGAGAGAAGATGAGGAAGACCAAGACTGAGAGACAAAGAGAGAGAGAGAGACAAAGACTTATAAGAGACTAATGACTATAACACAGGTTTTTGACGAGCAGATGATAATATTTTGAACATGAAAAAAAGTTGTATTCAGCCCAAGAAACTCTTTTTGGCTTTGAAAGCAGCTACAAAGACAGACACTATATAATTTCTGGTAGTTTGGTCATTTTGAAGAAAGTACTGAGTTACAAAATGAACACAACAACCATACAACACAATAAAGACCTGTTTCTAATTCTAAAAGTTCTTCATCAAATTAATGTTTTATTGTTTTTTCTGTTTGATAGTCACAGCGTGGGATTTTCTTGCGAGTCTAGGTTAAAAAGTGCAGTCTTTAACTGTCGTTTTGACATCTGTCAGTGTTTAAGACGTGTGAAAAAGTCAGTCAGTTTCAGGATTTGTTTGTTTGTAAGTATGAAAAAAGCATCTTGCTGTGACTAGAGAATCTGTCTAGCTGTTATGAAATCACAGTTTTTCCAGAAATTCGCCTTTATTTCCTGTTGAATGTGTCTCCAGCAGAGGGAGTTAAGGTTGAGGTGTTCATGTCCAGTCCAGCGTGTGTGTCTTTGTGTGTGTGCGCTTGCTCAAATGTGTGTTTATTTAGAGGTTAGCCTAGTTTCACCAATCACACTCGCGGTTCATGGCAGCACAACTGATTTTACTTCAGTTTAATGAATGTAGTGTTGCATAAATATATACAAACTCACTCTCAGAACACAGTAATGGAGATAATGACACATAAACACACACACACACACACGCACACACACGCACACACATAGACTAACTGCCTGCTTAGTCACGTTTTCAACAGGCTGGACAAAAAATGGTTCAGCAAATACTTACATGACCTCCCTGAACTGCTTTCAATTTTACCATTGCGACTGCGAGTAAACCAAAACAAAACAAAAAAAAAAGCTTTAGCCTAGCAAAAAACGTTTACAAAAATGACCCAGGTAGCAGTTTTACTTACTACAAAATGATAATATGTATCTATCAGATGTCCTTCAAACAGTTTCAGCTTCAAAATATTTTGTTTAATTCCTGTTCATGATGACAGTGGTGGCTAATAGCAAGTTAGCATAGCTTTTAGCAACTAGCATCTATGATATTTTATCAGAAACTAGGGTTATTATAAGACATCATTGCAAGGAAACTCTTATAAATAAGTGTGCTTAATCTACTGAATGTGCACTTCAAATCCTACATCTATAGTACATGTTCAAACAACAGTATTTGCAGATATTTATTGAATAAAAGGCCTTAAATGATCTTAAAGAGAGTACATGTTCATGACTGTACATACTTACATGCACTTTTAAAAGTTGCATTTTGTAATAATCTCGAAATTAAATGTTTTACAGAATTTATTCACACTTCTACTATTGAATCCAATGTATCACCAGCGCTCGGATTCGCTTCCATGGTGTTGTCAAGTACGACCCTCATTCCGTGAGCTAAACTGAACACTATTGGCTATTTAAAAAGGGGGAGGAGCCATTCAATATGTCCCACCTCAGCTTCCTGTTTCAGTGGAAATTATGTCAACGCATCAAACAAAGCTGTGCTTCAGTGGGCCTTTAAAGGGGTCATGAACTGGCTTTTTAAATTGTATTATATTGTTGTCTGAGGTCAACTTATGGACTCGGTTTTTGCATTCAAAAACATCAAAATGAATAAATAATAAGCTATTTTCTACCCTAGTTTTAAGCCTAGCTGAAAAAAGCTCAGTTCTTATGGGCGTCTCGCACTGAAGACTTGGAAGTAAACGCCCACTGCTGTGAGTGGACAACAGTTTTGCATATTATAATGAGTTTCAACTCACCCGTCGATGCACTTGGGGGAAATTGTTTTGATAACGTCCAATGTTGTAAAATGTTCGACCCAGAGTCTGTGTGTTGCACCATTCCTGTCAGATCCAATATAGACGGCACAGCACCGTTCTTTACTATTAACAGTCCCTCCAGGATTTCACGATTTTTTTTGGTGATTTTTGCGATCAAAATGACTGATTTTGTGGTGGTAATTTCCAAAAATTTGTGAAAAAATTTGCGATTTATATATAACATTTACCATAATAGTATTCAGTCCTTCCAGAAAAACGCAGAGTTTTTTTTGTGATTGTTGCGGGCAAAAATTGATTGATTACGCGGCCCGTTTTCTTTAAAAATTCGATGGAATATGCGGGATATTTATGCAATTTTATGCGATGAAATTGCAGGAATTTGCAAAAATTGAGGGAACTTGCAAAAATTGCGGTTTGATGAAAAAGAGAAAAAAGTGATTCCCCCAACATCCTGTTCTCACTAGGCTAATGTAAGAGTCATTTCTTATTACTTCCTTTGATAAGCAAGAATACTACATCATAGAAAGTGCTGGGAATATTTAATTTCTCATCTTGTTTTATTTCAGACTGTAACGAGTGTAAATAAGGTGTGGCCCCTTTAAGAGCTGCGCGCTCCTGTTGAACTCTCTGCAGTGTTAAATGTGCGCCTCGAACACCCGTGTGCGGGTAATTTCTGTTTGATGCTACTTCTTTTATCTTATGTTGTTTATTAAGTAACGATGTGACGGTAGAACGTGTGACAGACAGTTTTACGAGTTCGATTTGTGAGATGTCAATCGCCTCCGTGAGTCTGTCTGGCGTCGCGTAATTGCGTCACTTCATAACGTTCCCATGGAAACGGGGAAATGGCTGCTCTTGTGTGAAGCAAACGCAACATTTTTCAACTTTCTGCTAAGATACATGTGACTTTTTTTGCAACGAAAATGCGAGGATTATGAGATTATGCAAACCCCGCATATTTTGCACGGAAATCGGCAATTTATGCGGCGAAAGTGCGGCGTATTTGAAAAAAAATGCGGCCCCCGCATAAATATGCGGACTTTGGCTGATTTTGCATTGAATTCAGCGATCGCATAATCGCGTTTTTCTGGAGGGACTGTATTAATCGGTCTGCAAATCCAGTCTTGTTTACAAAACAATCCTCAGTGAAATGAAGCGAACAGACGGACGATGTTTTACCTCATCAGCTGGAACGTCATTAAAATGAAAGTTTATGCTTTTGCTTCTATTTGTTGATGTGATCTTTACTTTACCATGTTTAGGAACATAATCTTGTTATCTGAGCAGTAGTTTGCGAGCAGCAGGTATGGTGAGCAGAAGGTGTTGAAGGGGTTAAGCGTGCGCCTGTGCAGAAAGCGAGGGAGTCGACATCCTGGCAAGCACCAGTTTACACAGATGGAGCCGCTCTCTGAATAAACCACAAAAAATTCCTCTCCCTGTCCAAGTTAGCACTTCTCCAAGAGAGGACATGATCCTCGTCTTCTCGTTCTCTCTCTCTCTCTCTCCCGCTCTGACTACACAAAACACGAGCAGCGGGCCAGGTCAGATGAGCCTCCATGGTGCCCGTATATCATCATCGTGCCCCGTGAGCGCCTGGAAAAGAGCAAACAGGCCAGAGACGCGGAACAACAAGAGCAACGCTGTCTCTGAACGTACCAAAAATAAGCCTGGATGGGAGAGTTTTACTCTGTACTTGTGTTGTTGTGTGTACTTTCCACGGGTCATCCAGCGGTCTTGTCAACAGACACACTCCAGACAGTGGACTTTGCTTGTTTGGCTCTTTGAGCAATCCAGTGATGAAAAGTAGATGCTTTCAAAGAAATCGTATTTTGTTAGCTATTCATTATAGCTAAATGCTAAACTGAATCTTATCTCATTTAGTTGATTCACAAGTGGGATGGGTGTATCAGTCACACTAAGCTGTAAAGTCTCATGTCAGGGCTTCAGTGCACCTTTCCACTCGAAGGTCGTATGCCACTTTGACCTCCACACGATGAGCAATGTGGATAGCGTCATTTACGCTAGGTAACAAAAAGCCGGGGAGTGTAGTCAACAGTGAAAGTAGTGAACGCAGCTGAAAGAAGTAACATGTATTTGAACTTGAAACAGATTTTCTTGCAGGTTATTCGTCATTGACTAGGCTTCACAATTTTGAAATTGTTTGAGATTGGAGCATCAAAAGTTTGATATGTACGGAAGCGTATTGCATTCACTGGAAAAAAAAAATCTACTCTAAATTAATGAGTTAATTATCTCAGAATTACAAGATAATTTTTCATGGACATTTTTTTGCTCTGTTTTTCTGAATTTATGACTTAATTATTAATTTAAAAACTCAGAAATTCAGAAAAACAGAGCAAAAACGTTTTTCCATGAAAAATTATCTTCTAATTCTGAGATAATAAACTTGTTAATTCAGAAAAACAGAGCAAAAACTTTTTTCCATGAAAAATTATCTTGTAATTCTGAGATAATTCACTTGTTAATTCAGAAAAACAGAGCAAAATCTTTTTTCATGAAAAATTATCTTGTAATTCTGAGATAATTAACTAGTTAATTCAGAAAAAAGAGCAAAAACTTTTTTCCATAAAAAATTATCTTGTAATTCTGAGATAATTAACTTGTTAATTCAGAAAAACAGAGCAAAATCTTTTTTCCATGGAAAATTATCTTGTAATTCTGAGATAATTCACTCGTTAATTCAGAAAAACAGAGCAAAAACTTTTTTCCATAAAAAGTATCTCATAATTCTGAGATAATTAACTTGTTAATTCAGAAAAACAGAGCAACATTTTTTCCATTAAAAATTATCTTGTAATTCTGAGATAATTAACTCGTTAATTCAGAAAAACAGAGCAAAATCTTTTTTTCATGAAAAATGATCTTGTAATTATGAGATAATTAACTAGTTAATTCAGAAAAAACAGAGCAAAAACTTTTTCCAATTGAAAATTATCTCATAATTCCGAGATAATAAACTCGTTAATTCAGAAAAACAGAGTAGATTTTGTTTCCTGAAGTGAATGCAATACTCCA